CTTTCTTTTTCTTTCTTCTTTCTTTCTTTCTTTCTTTCTTTCTTTCTTTCTTTCTTTCTTTCTTTCTTTCTTGTTTTTTGAGACAGGGTCTTTCTATGTAGTCCAGGCTGGCCTCAAATTCATAGCAACCCTCCTGCCTCAGCCTCCCAAATGCAGATGTTACCTGGGTTATAGCATTGGTACATCTTCAGTGTCACCAGCATCAAGTTCATTCCAATGGACCAGCCCTCCTTCCCACAGTAGCGATGGACAGGGATTTTCTTTGGTCCATGTCTTTGCACTTGAGATTGTTAGAGCTGCTGTTTTTGACAGTCTTATGATATCTTGTTATAGTTTCAGTATGCATTTCTCCTAATGTCAGTGAAGCAAACCATTTTTTCTTCTTAAGTATCAGCTTTCTTTTCTGCAAACTCCTTTTGTTAAGTCCTTGGCCCATTTTTTGGACAGACTGTCTTTTGATTGTTTTCCTGTGGTTATTAGCGTATGTTGGGAGCTAAATCCTTGTCTGTTGTATACGTGTTCTGTCTCCTCCCAATCTAGTTTTTCACTTTTTTTTTTTTCACTTTATTTTGTCTTGTGGTTGATGCAGAAAGTGTTTTTGTTGTTGTTGTTGTTTTTATTTTTCCTTTTTTCTTTTTTTTTTTGAGGCAAGGTTTCATTATGCAGCTCAGGCTGGCCTTGAACTCACTTTGTAGCCCACAGTGATCCTCCTGCCTCAGCTTCCTGAGTGGTTGGATTACAGGCCTGCACCACCACACCTGGCCTCTTTTGTTTTTCAAGACAAGGTCTCCCTATGTTGCTCAGGCTGGCCTCAATTATATGATTCTCCTGCTTCAACCTCCCAAGTGCTGGGATTACAGGTGTGGGACACCATGCCCATGTTTAGAAAGTTTTTTTCTTTAGAAAGTTTTTAAAAATGTAAAAATTGTATGATTTTTCAGTCCTTTAATTTATTTTTTGTTCTGTTGGTTTTTTTTGAGACAAGATCTCACTATGTAGTCTAAACTGGCCTTGAACTCATAGCAATCATCCTGCCTTGGCCTCCCGAGTGCTGTGATTACAGGCACGTACCGCCACACCTGGCTTGTGTGGTATTTTTTTCATTCAGTCTATTTATTTATTTATTTATTGGGGTTTTTTTCTCATTTTTTTTTTTTTTTTCCGGTACTGGGAATTGAACTCACGACCTCGCGCTTGCCAGGCAGGCACTGTGCCGCTGAGCTAAATCCCCTGAGAATTGAACTTAGGATCTTGAGCTTACCAGGCAGGTGCTGTGCTTCTGAGCTAAATCCCCAGCCCCCTATTTATTGTTTTTTTTTGAAACGGGATCTCACTGTGTTGTTTAGACTGGCCTTGAATTTACTATGTAGCCCAGGCTGCCCTTGAACACACGGCAATCTTACTGCATTGGCCTCCCAAGTGCTGGGATTACAGGATGTGTGTCACCATGTCCACCTTCAGTCCTTTAACTTACTTTTATTTTTTATTTTTTTTTCAGTCCTTTAATTTAAACTTACGGTTTTGATATCTTTTTTTTTTTTTTTTTGGTTTTTCTCCGGTACCGGGAACTGAACTCACGACCTCGTGCTTGCCAGGCAGGTGCTTTGCCACTGAGCTAAATCCCCAGCCCCTTTGATATCCTATTTAAGAGATCTTGGGCTGGAGACACAGGTTGGTAGTAGATTGCTTGATTAGCAAGTGCAAGGCCTTCAGCTCCATTTGTAGCAACACGCACACACACACACACACACATTCTCACAATCTCACACACACATTCTCACACACACATTCTCACACACACACATCTTCACGCAATTCTCATACACACATTCTCACACCCACTCTCACACACACAATCACACACAGTTCTTGCACACATTCTCACACACGTTTTCACACACACATTCGCACAATTCTCACACATATTCTCACACACAGTCACACAAACATACATTCTCACACAATGCTCACACACATTCTCACACAATGCTCACACACATTCTCACATACATATTCTCACACACCTTCTCACACACATTTTCACACACACAAACACACAAAGAAAGGAATAAAAAGAAAGCAATCTTTGCTGCCTGGGTTTATAAAGATTTAACCCTAAAAGGCGTGCTGCGGATTTGCTCATCAAGCGCAGGCTTCTGAGTTGCGATGTCCGCGTGCGGCGTACCTGCGCAGTCCAGTTTTGTCTCCTGCACGGAGAGCGGAGGGTTCCCAGCCGTTCACTCACCCTCGCAGCTCCGCCCATGGGAGTCGCTCTTCCGGGTCCTCTTGTTGTTTGCCATGGCCAGTGCCTGATGGGTTCGTCCACATTTTTTCTGTCTTTCCCAACTTTTCTTCTCAAATGTATCTCTTTTTTTCTCATTTTCTTCTCAGGTTGCTGGGAAGTGAACCCTGGGACTTGCGCATGCTATGCGCAAGCTCTACTCTCGGCTTAAATTTATTATTTTTCAAATCCTGGATCCCAAGAAAAGTCAGCTGAGGAAATGGGGGAAAAGGATTAAAATCTTCCTATGTGAATCAAAGTCTGTTTTATTTTAATTAATTTATAGACAGGGTCATCTGTTTGCATGGGTGACTGGGCACGTGGGCAGGGCCACAGTCCCATGCTGCCACAGCAATGGGGGCGGAAGGGGCCCCTGGTCCGATCAGGAGGTCTCCCCGGCTCTCCCCTGAGATGTCAGCTTCACCTTCCGGCTCTGCATGTCGAGTTTCCTTCCTTTGGCCTCAACCTCACCATTTCCTTTAAACAAGCAACATTTCTACACTGATTATTGAACTTGATTTTGTAGCTGGGCATGGTAGTGTCTGCTGTAATCCCAGTATTCGGGAGGCTGAGGCAGGAGGATTGCTGTGAGTTTGAGCCTAGCCTGGGCTATGCAGTGAGACCCTGTCTATAAGTGCTTGTTTCATTATACATCACTCTTCTCTGGAGAGTGAATCTTTCATTCTGCCCTTCCACCGTTAACATTCCTAGTCCATCTTCCCACCTGGGACGGCAGCCGTGGGCTTCCTGTAGCACCTGTGGCATCTGAGGTGACTCCTGAACTTTGATCTGATTTCCTGGGGTCGTCTTGGGGGAGCTCGCTGCATGCGGGGATTTCTGTAAGGCTCCCAAGAGCCACTTGGCGTCACCGTTACTGGGGCCCAGGGCTGTCACCTGCCGGGAGCCAAGGCCCCTCCCCTGGCATAGGAACGCCAGACCCACGTGCAGCACACATGCGGACCTCAAGCCCACTCAGAGCGCACGAACGGGGTTGGTGTTTCCAAGGGGCCCTGTTTAGCTCTGTTTAGGGATTTCTGGCCCAGCGCTGCTAAACCACGTCCTATCATCTCCCTGTGCAGGGCGTGGCTCTTCCTAGCTCACCCTGTAAAAGAGATCAGCCCTCAGCAGCCCAGCACTGCACAGAAGCGGAGTTTTGTTTTTTTTTTTTTTTTTTTTTGAGACAGGGTCTCGCTATGCAGTTCAGGCTGGTCTTGAATTCACTGTGTAGCCCAGGCTGGTCTTGAACTTACCTCCATCCTCCTGCCTCAGCCTCCCGGGAGCTGGGATTATAGGTGTGTGCTGCCACGCCTGGCAGACGTGGAGTTTCCAGTCTCCCCTCTGCCAGCCAAACAGCTGACTTCCTGTCTCCCTGACCAGACACCAAAACCAAGGCCCCTGGGCTCCTGGCTCTGACGACCCTTCTGCTCCTCCCTGGCTTCTGTCCCCGGGCGGCTGTGGGGACCTGGTCGGTGATCACCACGCTGTTTCTGAGCCGGCCAGACCCCTTTCTCTTCTGCTAACTGAGCCAGGCGCTCCCTACTTCTTTATTTGGCTCTGTTTTGCCCAGCATTTTTATGTTATCGGCGGGAGGGGTTTCCCACACGATCCCAGTCAAAGATCTCATCAGAACGGAGCTCCTCTGATCGTTAAAGCTGGTTTCATTTGCTTTGGTTTTATTTCCTACTTGCAATTAAAAAAAGAAACACACCCAGAGTGATACGGTTGTCATAGCATCGTGGGTAAATCAGACCCCGCTGTCCCCAAAGCCACTCCAGAGGTTCCTCCAGGTCGTCTGACCCTGGGCCACCTGCGCTCTGCAGAGGTGGCCTGCTCCAGCCCTGGGCTCGGGCCGTGACCGGGCCTCTCCGTCCATTTTTCTTTGTGCAGAGACAGTGACATCCATAATCCTGATTTGTGTGCCTGCTGCTAGACAGCCAGCCGGCGAGCAGCCGCGTGTTCATAACCCAGTTCTTTTCCTGCCAAAGGAGAACACGAGAGTGGAGTAAATGTCACCGACACCGCTGCAAATCTTTAGTCCCGCGCACACTCATCCTGGGCTCCAGCAGGGCCCAGGCATGGCTCTGTGGCCCCGTGCCTGCCCTGCTACCAAGCTGACAAGTGGCATCAGTTGGTCCTGCCTGCCCCGTCAAAAACCTCGCCAGGAGTTTTCTTCCCGGGTTGTCCTAAAGTTACTTATGGGTACCAGGTGCACGGCTCTGAAAGTCCACTCAAAATAGCGAGTTGTGTACTTTATGCAGGTGTTTGCTTTTGACATGCGTAAGAGTTATATAGAAAGTGCTGGATGGGCACCACAGCCCTGAACTGGTCTTCCCTGTGACCTTAACTTTCTTTTTTATCTTTTTTTTTTTTTTTTTTTTTTTTTTTTTTTTTTTTTTTTTTTTTTTTTTTTTTTTTTTTTTTTTTTTTTTTTTTTGAGACACGGTCTCACTATGTAGTTCAGGATGGCCTTGTAGTTTTAGAGATCCTCCTGCCTCAGCCTCCCGGGTGCTGGGGTTACAGGTGGCAGCCACTACACCCCCCAGCAAGACCTTAACTTTCAGCCACATCAAATTTCCCACTGTCTCCTCTCAGCACCACCCTATTTCCTGGCTCTGTGACTTTACACCAACTGTGGCTCCTCCCTGGGATGTCCCTCCGGCCACCTCCTCCAGGCTACCTGGTTGTCCTTCAAGGCTGAGCTCTGCCTTCCATCTTACCAGCAAGTCTCCGTGCCCACCCAGGAGTCCCCTCCACCGCTGCTCTGTCCCATTGTACAGATGCATCCTTCCTGACTTTGTCTCCCGGAGGGGGCCTTCATCACCTCCCTGCCCTCAGGACTGGAATGGGCGCCTGGCACGGGATGACGCTCGGCCCCTGTGCCTTCTCGGGCCACCATGAATGTTCAGCGCTGGCCTGGCGTGCGTGGGTGCAGCAGCGAGGGGGGTGCCCAGGCCTGAGGAGCACGGGGGAAGCGGGGTCACAGCCCTCCCTCGCCCTCGCTTGAGCTTTCTCTTAACCTCTGATTTAGCCACGAGCGACTGAGCCAGAACCACTTGCTGACTTGCCAGAAGGCTTCTTTGCCGAGGTGCCTTCCCCTGGGGGAGGGGGACGAGGGGCTGAGCGTGTAACAGAGCGGAAGCGGGGGAGGCCAATCAACACTCAGCCGAGAGGGAAGGATCTCCGCTAGCGGCAATAAAAACAGACAGCTCCACCAGGAAGTGTGGGGAGGGAGGCAGCCTGGTCTCCGCGGAGTGACAGCCAGGGCCCAGGGCCAGGGCACGGTGGGAGCTGGGGCCCCCACGCTGGGCAGCGAAGCCCGTGCCAGCCCGACTGCTCCTCTCTGATCGCCCTGGCTGCGGACTGGCGCCGCTCGGGTCTTCTGCCTGGAACATCGCGCTCCGAGGGGCTCCCCGCACTCCTTTCCTCTGACCAATCACGGAAGGGGGCCGCGTGGTGCCTATTTATGGCAGCAGCGAGGTTTGGGGACAGAAAAGCAGCACAGTTCCAGGGCTGATGAGATTGCTGAGCCCGGGGAGCTGGGCCTGCTGCAAGGGAGCGAGCAGGCGCCGGCAGGGCAAGGCAAGGACACAGGCTCCCGGGCACTGAGGCCAGGGCCCTCCTCCCGGCCGGGTAGGGGCGGGTGACATAAATCGCCCAGATCTCACTGCCACTGCTGCCTGGAGCTCCAGAGCAGCCCTGAGAGAGAGGAAGAGGGAAGGAAGGGGAGAGAAACAGCCTCATTCAGCCTTTAGAAAGTCAGCTGTTACCTGGGGCTGCCGCACAGGAAGGCCCTGGGTTCAAATCATCAGCACCAGCAGGAAACGAAAATAAAATCTGTGTGTGTGTGTGTGTGTGTGTGCACGTACACACAGAAGCAGAGGTGGTTGTAAGTGCATTGCTAAGAAGATGCCAGCCAAGCACCGAGAGGCTCCGGAGCAGAGCAGCTCGCTGGTTTTCCTTGGGAACACAGTGAGAGGCTCTGCTGGGTGGGTTTGATCCAGGTCCCTGCGAGTTCCCAGTAAGGAAAAACAAAGAGGAGTCTCCAGCATCTCCCCGACATCCGTGTGCCTAGGAAATGAGCATCTCCCAAGGGTGTGTGCAGAGCCCCCAGCCCCAGAGCCCCGGATCAGCAGACACAGAGGGGCTGGGAGCCCGTCCAGGCCCAGCACCATCGCCTCCAGGGTGTGGTTTCATCAATCTCTCCCAAGTGCTTTGGAAATCAGATTTTTAAATCAGACCTCATGTCCAAAATGATCTATTTTTAAAAAATATTTGTAGTAGAGTAGACATAAAAAGGCAGTAAATGCCAGGTGTGGTGGCGCACGCTCAGAACTGTAATCCCAGAACTCAAGAGGCTGAGGCAGGAGGATCACAGTGAGTTCAAGGCCAGCCTGGGCTATATGGTGAAACACTGTCTCAAAAAAACAGAAAGCAAGAAACAAAAACAAAAACAAAAAGGCGGTAAGCTAAAGGCCTTTTAACACTCCAGAACTGATTCCGGATAAAATCACCAAGAAGTTCTGATATGTTCCTGGGTATCTCGTGGTTATTAGAAGGCATCATTCAAGACACCCTGACAGTTTTAGGAGTTAACAGCAAGGAAATGCTAAGTATGATAACAAATCCCTAAATAGCAGTGACTTAACCCGAAAACATCTGTGTCTCAGTCCCATAATCTAATGTGAGTGGCTAGGGCTTCCCTCCATACGGTGATCAGGGACTCAGAAATTTTGCAAGGGACCCAGACCCCTGTCTGTTTTGTGGGGTGACCCCTCCCCACCCCCTTGTGCCTGCTCCACCAGTAGGAAGGGAGCGAGAGAAGACAGCTACCTCCTGATTGCACTGGCCAGGAGCAAGGCTGACTCACAATTCAAAATCAGTCCAGCTGGTGCCGGGGATGTCCCTCAGTCAGAGCCATTGTCTGGCGTGTGTGAGGCCTGGGGCTCCACCCCAGAGCCTACAAAAACAAACAAAATTCCCCAAATTAGTCATGTAATCTACCACATCAACAGGTTACGAAGAAAACTCCTGTGATCATAGCAATTGATGCAGAAAAGGCATTTGACCAAATCCAACACCTCCTTGTCATTTTTAAAAAAGAACTCTCAGCAAACTGGAAATTGAGGCGAGAACTTGATACAACCTGACACAAAGCACTATTTGAGACAATCTACAACTAATAACCCCACAAATTTTGCTCTGTTGTATTTTTCTTTTTGGTCAGTTCAAAGCTTTCTAATTTAGCCTTTGATTTCCTTTTTGACCTATGTGTTATTTATTTATTTATTTATTTATTTATTTATTTATTTTTAGTACCAGGAATCAAATTTAGGACCTCGCACTTGCCAGGCAGGCACTGTCCCACTGAGCTACATTCCATATATGTTATTTAGAATTGTGTTATTTGGGCATTTTCAGAGATCTTTGGGTTATTAGCGTCTTCCTTTTTTTTTTGGTCTTTTTGAGACAGGGTCTCCCTGTGCAGTTCAGGCTGGCCTTGAGCTCACTCTGTAGCCCAGGTTGGCCTCAAACTCACAATCATCCTCCTGCCTCAGCCTCCTGAGTGCTGGGATTACAGGCATGTGCCACCATCCCCTGTGGTTATTAACTTCTAATTCAATTCCATTATTGTAAGAGAACAGCCTCGAAGGACATGAATCCTTTCAAATGTGATGGCTACAAACAATTGTCTACCTTGAGAAATGTTCTGAGTGAACTTGACAAGAGGGGTGTGGATTCTGCGACTGCTGGGGAAAATGTTTATGAATGTTCACTGGGTCAGGCGGGTTGATAATGCTCAAATCTTTTATATACGTACTGGTTTTCTATTTACTTGTTCTATCGATTATTGAAAGCAGGATACTAAAATCTTCAACTGTGATCGTCAATTTAGCAATTTCTCTGCCATTCTATAATTTTTTCACTTCAAGAATTTTGGAGGTCGGTTAGTAGATGTGTAAACAGGATGAAGTGACTCTTTTTGCCATTATTATTTATCTGTGCTAATATTTTTTGCTCTAAAATCTACATGGTCTTCTGCTACTAAACCATTTCAACTTTTTAGATTAGTGATAACATGTCATATCTTTTCCCACCTTTTAATCTATTTTCCCTTACTTTTAATCTATTTGTGTCTTTATATTATATTTAAAGTGTGTCTTACAGATGACATACTAGATCTTGTTTTAAAATCCAATCTCTGCCTTTCAGTTTGGATATTTAGACCATTTATATTTAATGTGACTATTGATATGGTTCAGTTTAAATCCATTTAATTAGTTGTTATCTATTTGTCCTAACTATTCTTATTTGTCCTAACTATTTCCCTTGTCCTCTTTTTCTGTCTTCTTTTGGTGCATTTTAAATGATCCTGTTGTCTCTCATCTGTTGGCTTACTAGCTGCTAGTTAAACTCTTTCACTATTTTAATGGTTGTTTTAAGGTGTATAGTACAAATTCAATTAATCACAGTCTATGTTTAAGTGCTGCTATATTATTTCATTTAAAGTATAAGGACCTTACAATGGAGTGTTTCAATTTCTTCCCTCCTATCTATTAAATAACATGAATCCCCAGGATTATCCACAATTTCAATCCAGCACAACAAAGTTCACTCTGGCTTCTCTTTTTCCATATTTGTATCTCCTGTCTTTAACTCTCATTATTTCAACCCTTCTTTTTAAAATTTTTATTTATTTATATTTATATTTTTTGTATTTCAACACTTCTGTGAGGCCCTTCTCAGTCCACTTGAGTATGGGGCCTGACCCCACCCCACCACCTACCTTGTTCAGATCTGTCTAGTGGCTTTTAGATGAAGAGAGGAAAGAAAGTCAGTGAATAGTTTATAAGGTAGGATAATATGTTAGCCATCTTTCCATCACTATGACAAAATGCCTGAGGTTAAAAAAAAAATTCTTGGAAGGAAAGGTTGATTCAGGTTCATGGTTTCGGAGGTGTCAGTCCATGGTCTCTTGACTGTGTGGCTCTGGACCTGTGGTGAAGTTGAGCACACAGAGGAAGAGATTGCTTACCTCAGGACAGCTAAGAGGCAGAGAGAGAGGTAGGAAGGGGCCCAGGTCCCACTGTTCCCTTGAGGTCACATCCCCAGTGACCTATTTTCCACTTCTTAAAAACTCCATCATCTCCAATAACACCACAGGCTGGGGACCACGCCTGTAACACATGGTCTTTGAGGGAGGCGTGCAAGCTGTGTGGAGTGTGCTTCAACAGTCTGTCAGAGCATCCTGCTTTCTCGCGTAGTGAGATGCTCCAGGCTCCTTTGTCCTGCTTTCATGTACAAACCCTGGAATGCTCCCCCCACAAGGTGCCCTAACTCCTTTTAGTGGAAAATGGTGTTTAGAGACCACAGTCCATAAACTAAGTTCTCCACCGCTGGTAGGTTATTAGTTTCTAGACATTTCTGGTGGATAAAGCTGAAAAATACTTTTCCTTTTAAAGAGAAAATGCATAATGAGTTCATGCTTCTAATTCCAGTTTAAATTTAGGATGACAGGGCTTACACATAACTTCTTTGATTTTTCTATTTCTCTTTTCTATTGCGCTGAGAGAAAAGGACCCTAACACAATTACTTATTTGCATTACCCATACCTAATGATGATCAATAGATTACATAATATGCATACTACTGTGTACAGTATAGTCTATTTAGACTGTGCCATAAGCTTCCCAGAGGAGGCAGTGGGGACTCCGGGTTGGAGCCGCCAGTGTGGATTGGAACTTCTGGAATGAGCTCACAGCCTTCGGTCTCAGGGAATACAATGGGCTTGGGCTTTTCCGCCATGCTTGGAGAGCTTGACTTTGGCAGAACATAGATGGACTGAATGGATCACGCGCAGTGACGTGCCCTGAGTCCTAGCTCACTTTGTAGCCCAGGCTGCCCTCAAACTTGCAGCAATCTGCCTGCCTCAGCCTCCTGAGTGCTGGGGTTACAGGCATGTGCCACCACACTCGGCCTTAGTGTATTCTTTTTGTTTCTTTCTATTTTGTATAGTTAGAACAGTGATGTCCTTTTGGGGAAGTGGTGCTCACACATAGAACATAGCACCATCATTTTCAACCCCTGGAGGCCTCTCTGCCTTCTCCACTCCCCTCGCTAAGAATCTGTTTTCTAGTTTCCTGTCATCTCTCCTTTATTTTATTCATTAATTACTTGTATTTTAGGTTTCTCACATAAGAGAAAACATGCAATATTTAACTTTTAAAGTCTGGCTTGCTGGGGATATAGCTCAGCGGCACAAGCACCTGCCTGGCAAGTGCAAGGTCCTGAGTTCGATTCCTGGTACCAAAAAAAAAAAAAAAAAGAGCTGGAATTCTGGCTTAATTCACTTAGCACGATGGTCTCAGGTTACAACCATGTTTCTGCAGATGTCATGGCTTCCTTCTTTATGGCTGTATAAAATTCCATCGTGTGTATACACCATATTTTTTTATCCATTCATCTGTTGATGGGTATTTAGGCTGTTGCCAGAGATAAGGAGAGGGTTGTTATTTCCTGAACACACATTTGGGGACAGAATTCACTCCGTGACATGCATGAAGACTCTCAGAGAGGCCAGGGCCAGCTGCTGGTGTGGCTATACTGCATGTCACACAGGACTGTCCCTTGCTGGCCCCCAGCTCCTCTGTCCCAGGCTAGGGGAGCTGAGCTGGGGACCACGACACACACCTGCTTCCTTCTCTCAGCCGTGTCCTGGGGGAAGCAAGCTGGCCACGGGTTAGGGGTTAAGGTTAGGCGGCTCTGCCAGGCTTGGGTGTGGCTGGGGCTGGGTCCCCGGGTTCCCCCACCCAGTAGCCCAAAGCCCAGGTAGCCAGTGGGACTCAGGCTCCCCAGGAGGAACCCTGCACTTTCTCTGTCTTCAGAGTCCAAGGTGCTGACAGTTCTGGGAGTCTGCAGGCTGGGCGCCCCTGGAGGAGGATCGGGGGCAGTGCTTCTCTTTTCTCTGCGGACGTGTGGATTACCGCACTTCTCAGGCCGCCGCCACCCTCCCGCCCTTCTCGCCCGTTCCCTTCTCCTCCTTACCCCGGGGGTTTCCGGGCACCCACCTTGAGCTCCAGGGCAGTGTCCACCGCCAGCCCCACACCCCTGCCACCAGGTCCGGGGCAGGGAGCACCCCTGACCCTCTTGTTGTCATCACTGTCGCCCAGCAGTGGCTCAGGTCCAGCTCAGACCCCTCCCCGCAGGGGCCCAGGGGAGAAAATGGTTGCAAACTGCTTTTTAAATCTGAGATTTGCCACCACATGAGAACGCTTATCACTAACGATGCCTGCAGAGCGCTGGATCCATCCGTACTGTGTCCTGTCAGGAAGGTGAGGAGGGGTGCGGCCGGAATGCCAGGGCAGAGGGGCGTCCCGGGAGCTGGTCAGGGCTGGCAGAGCACGTGCACCCACCCTGCACCGGGTTCTCGGCTGCACCGGGAAGGGGCCAGGGATGCCCCTCACCGTGCCTGCATTTTCAGAAAATGGATGAAAGCAGGGAGAGGCAATGGGGGTTGGAGGCAAAGTGTGGGCTGGAGTTCTCCGAGCAGGAAGAGCGGGTGAAAGGGCCCCACGGTCACCCCTTCCTCAGGCTCCGGGGGGAGCGCTGTGCTGGCCAGTGAGGCCCAGGACCTGGGGAGACAGGGGTCAGAGACAGGCTCGGGTCAGGGCTGTGGCGAGCCCTGGCCCCCACATGCTGCTAAGCCACGGCCGGGTTTCAAGTAGACTCAGAAGAAATATCCGCCCCTCTCCGCGCCTGGGGATACAGGAGCTCTGGGGCCGCCCCAGCAGACCCCTAAGTGACAGGGTCACCCAGCTACAGCGTCTTACCTTCACGAGGCACTTTCTCTTTGCAGACAGGGTCTTGCTGTGTAGCCCGGGCCGGCCTCACGCTCACGGCACGCAGCCCCAGCTGGGCTCACAGGGCATGTGGGGGGGACCCGAACTATTCTCACCCTGCGCATGAGGAAGGCGGTGGCCGGAGGACCTGCACATTTGCCCAAGGTCCCACAGTCAGGGAGAAGCTTGACCCCAAGGCCACCCCCACCCGGAAGGACCGGTGGGTCAGGGCCACCGCAGTGAGACAGGAAACTGGCAGGCGGCTGGCGGCTGCATCCCCACTGGGGCAGCCAAGGAGGGGTCCCCAGGCACCCGCTACCTCCGTGTGTCCCTAAATCAGCGCCACTCAGCAAAACAAACTCCGTCCAGCCCCCTTCTCTGCTCCTCCCCTCCCCCATGTTTTCCATGCTAGGGATCACATCCGGGCCTTGAGCAGTCCAGGTGAGCGCTTGCCACTGAGCTACACCCGGCCCGGTATGGTAGTTTTTTTTTTTTTTTTTTTTTTTTTTTTCAAAGAGGGCTGGCTAAGTTGTCCTGGCTGGCTTTGGACTTACAGTCTGCCTGCCTCAGCCTCCCAAATGACTGGGACTATAGGCGTGTACCGCCGAACTTGTTTTTTCTTCCGGTACCGGGGATCGAACTCTTGACCTTGCGCTTGCCGGGTAGGCGCTGTGCCGGGCAGGTGTTGTGCCGCTGAGCTAACTCCCCAGCCAGCACCGCGGAACTTGGCGAAAAGCTTCTGTGTTCTGTAGTAACTGAAAGATGTTTATGTGGTCTCATGCTTCTGTAAAGTTTGCAAACATGAGTTTTTGTTTTAAACCTCAGTTGGTTAAGCCTCTTTTTAAATCCGATTTCTCCTCCTTTTTGCCTCCTGTCCAACGGACTGGTGCTGCACCGGCCACGCATATTTTGGGGAAAGTGATTTGGGAACACATTTCGCCTGCGATGCTGGGGTACTTGCAGCAGCATGTGTGTGGCTCAAAGTTACAGCCACACGGCTGCTGAGGGCACATGTGGCCTCCGGGACGCTCCCGCCCATGAACGGAACAAACCCAGGGAACACAACAGAAGAGCGAGTCGCCGTGAACTTCCTGCCATCAACGCGTATAACAAAACTCACTGCGGGCTGCTTGAGGCCAACACCAAGGCCGCCCAGGACGGCAAGTGGGAGAGGTCTGCCCGGGGGTGGTTAGGACGGTGATGGCAAGCCTTTTAGAGGTGGAGTGCCCAAACCGCAGCCTCAAAACCTGTGGAGGACCACGTGGGCCACTCTCCTTGAAGGAGGAGCAATTGCCTCCATTTTGGCTGAACCTGGCCCTATTTCCATGTACTGGCATGTACAGAGCTGGCTGGGACTTCTCCTTACCCCTTCAGTTGGCTTTAAGCCGTGCACATCGGGCCAGCTGGTGCTGATGGTAATCTTTGGAGATGGCAGGTGTGTTTCCCCGCACCCCGCACCCACCCCCTTGTGTGAGCCCGGATGAGGCGGGATGAAGAACCAGTGCTCCACGCTGTTGGGATAGAAGCTTGACTTCCTGGGGCTTGAAAGATCACACATCAGAGCTGAAGCACGACCCCAAAACATTAGATACTACCTCAAGTGTGTTATGCAGACTGCTTTTTCTGCACATCCTTCTCCCTGCATATTGCAGAGGTGATTTCAGGCCTCCTGCCTAGCCCGGCTCAGGGCACTCGCCTGCTTCCTGCGGTTCTCACAGTCACTCATCCTCCAGCCACTCCCTTCTTCAAGAACGAGTAAAACCCAGGTTCGGTTCGGCCCTGGGTCAAGGTCTTCGTTCTGGTTAGCCATCATCTGGTTGGACGTAGGACCCCTCAGCTCCCCACAACTACAAATATGACTTAGTGTCTTTATTCTCACCATGGGCTGCACTGAAAGTGGTAGATTGGAATTAACTCCTTAGAATTCCAGTAACTTTCCTTTTTTTTTTTTTTTTTTTGGTCTTTTTGAGACAGGGTCTTGCTGTGCAGTTCAGGCTGGCCTTGAGTGCACTTTGTAACCCAGGTTGGCCTCAAACTTGCAACAATCCTCCTGCCTCAGCCTCCCAAGTACTGGGATTATAGGCGTGCGCCACCACGTCCGGCTCTCCAGTAACTTTCCCATGGGATTACAGATATAAACTTCCTGGGCCGGGAAGGGCTTTCTATAAAAACCCACTTATCTATTGCAAAGTGCCAGCACTGCAATGAAACCTGAATACAGAGGGTTTTTTTTTTTTTTTTTGTCTTTTTTGAGACAGGGTCTCGATCTGCAGTTCAGGCTGGCCTTGAGCTCACTTTGTAGCCCAGGCTGGTCTCAAACTCACAACAATCCTCCTGCCTCAGCCTCCCGAGTGCTGGGATTACAGGCGTGCACCACCATGCCCGGCTAATACAGAGGGTTTTGTTTAGGGAAAACAACTATTATCCGGTGATCAACGCTGGGGTGTCTTGGCTGTGTGTGCCCACTGCGGCATGCATGCCACAGGTTCGCCAACATTGGGCTAACATTAGTCCCTGCATGCACAGGAAACCCTGCCCTGCCTGTGCCCTGACCTCTCCCAGCTCCTGTTCAAAGAAATTCAATTAAACTTTTTCACTGTCTTCATAGAATATGGCATTACGGAATCCCTGCTGTACAAAATGGTGATCGGCACGTATAAAAACAGGGAATGCACTACAGAGTTCATACAAAATATCCTGTTGCTTTTCTGAGTTGCTTGATGTTTATAGTCTTGCTGAGTCTTTTATGAATTTGTGTGATTTTTTTTCTGGTTAGAATGGAATGGCAGCCGGGTGTGGTGGCTCACACCTGTAATCCCAGCACTTGGGAGACTGAGGCAGGAGGACTGCCGTGAGCTTGAGGCCAGCCTGAGCTACAAAGTGAGCTCAGGCCAGCCTGAACTGCATAATGAGACCTGTCTCAAATAGACAAAAAAAAAAGAATGGAACTGCAAGTTAATACTATCAAGCCTGGTTTTGGTTTTGCAACTGTGTTTTGTTTTGGTTTTTAACGAATGGCTCCACAAAACTGCATAGGAAGCTGAATGTGGTGGTGCACATCTGCAATCCCAGCACCGCGGGAGGCTGAGACAGGAGGATCGCAAGTGTGAGTCCAGTCTGGGCTGCTTAGTGATTTAGTGAGACTGTGTTGCCAAAGAAAAAATAAAAAAGGGCTGGGGATGAAGCTCAATGCAAAGGCCCTGGGTTCAATCCCCAGCAACTCTCTCTTTCTCTAACACACACAGACCCTGCAAGCTTGAGACCCTGTAAGCTTAGCTCGGTCCTGCTGACCACTCCCTTGGTGCTGAGAACAGGTTGTTCGTGGAGAAAAGCGGGCTGGGGCCCAGCACCACCTGGACCCCAATCCCAGTGCGGCTGCACCCTCACTCCAGGCCCCGGGTGACTCGCGTCTCTCAGTCTGGGGCTTTCCCTGTAAAGCAGGGACCTTCGTGTCCCTCCCGGGGCTCTGCATGTACAGTGCCTGGAGGCCCGAGCCCTCCACAGACGCCACCCCTCGCCCTTGTGTCCATCTGGGCCTGGTGTGTGCCCCACACTGTGTTTGGGGCACCCCTCCTCCGTCCCGGGGTGCAGGGAGCTGGCTCAGGCCCGGCCCCCACCTGCAGGTCCTGCAAGAGCAAAGCCTTCCTGCCTTTCTCTCAGTGCAAATGAGAGTGACACTCTCAGGCGGTCACCCAGAGAGGTGGCTTGAGGGCGGGGGCTTCCCTGGCGCCCCACCTCTAAGGGCATCACAAAGTCGCCCGTGCCGTCTGGGGAGCCCACATTGGCCGGCACCATGCGCTGCCACCGAAGGCCACCCGGGTCCCCCGCTGGGGAGAGAAAGGACACACAGAGGTCTCTTCCTGCTGGGGCCCCACACCCCAAGCTCGGGGGAAACAGGGGACCCAGGAGGACAGAGCGCCCCCTTCCCCACCTGCTCCCCTCCCCGTGGAGGCCCAGACCCTGCAGGGAAAGGGTGAGAAGGACACAGCGTCTTCTTTCTCCTGGGGTTCTCAGCAGTGCTGAGCCGGGGGGCCTGCCATGGGGCACCCTCAACCCCGGTGGAATTGAACCCAGGAGAGCTGGGCAGCCGAGGCCACCTTCCCTCCACCTGCCACTGGGCTGCCAGCTCTTTCCTGGCAGAGCCAAACTCACTCCCCTACCCATCTATCCATCCACCTGTCCGTCCATCCGCCCATCCGGTCACGTGCGTGCTTGTTCATCCAGTCAGGACAGCTCAGCTGGAGGCACTGTCCCCAGCGGAGGGGGTCTGCGGCGAGGGGCTGCAGGTAGTGGGGCTACAGGGAGCCCCCACAGACCAGGGAGCACAGACAGCCCAGAGCCTGTCCCGGGCTTTCAAGCCGGCAGCCCCAGATCTGGATTCTGATTCCAGCCTCGCCCTCCCTTGCTGTGTGGCCTGAGGAAAGTGACTTCGCTCTTCTGAGCCTCAGTGCACAAGGTGAACACCGCGGTGCCCGCTTCACGGGCGGCCTCCAGGGTGGGCCAAGGCCCTTCTGTCCTTGTGCACCTCTTCCCGTCTTGCTCTTACCTTAGACAGTGGCCGGCCCAGCAGTGGTGGCCCAGGCCTAGGTAAGGAGGGGTCCTGGCCACGCCAAGGCTGGCTGCGGTAGGCAAGGGCCTGAGTGGTTCCACCTCCCGAGGACGCTGACAGCGAGGCCAGGAGAAGCCAGAGAGCACAGGGCAGGGACGCCACAGGGAGGAGCAGGGACACCGAGGCAGGCACCAGCCGGGCAGGGCGAGCCTAAGAAAATGCCCTGAAGCTTCCCTCTTGCTGGCAGGAGGCCCGGGGTGAGGTTTTAGGGAGCCGGGGCTGCTGGTCCCCAAAAGACCCGCTACCTGCTCAGTGGTTCAAGGATGGGGTGCAGAGGGCTTTCCCGCCCACTGTGGGCAGGGGTCTCGCAGGAGCTGGGTCACAGCCAGGAGCCACCGACCTCCGCTCCGGGCAGCTCGGAGGTGAACAGAGAACAGCAGAAATCCAGTCTGCCTGTCGTTCCTCCCTCCCTCCCTTCTTTCCTTCCTTCTTTTTTTTTTTTCTCTTTTTTCCCCCCTCTCATTCCTGGAGATTGAACCCAGCGTCTTTGTGCTGAGCCACATCTCCAGCTCTTTTTTACATTTTTTATTTTGAGCTCAGTTGTCCCAGGTGGGCCTAAACTTGCGACCCTCCTTCCTCAGCCTCACAAAGTACTGGGATTACAGGGCTGCAACACTAATTTTTGAGCAGAAGCCCTGAGCGGTTTACTCATCTGTAGTGGGTGCTGGTGCTCATTGGCAAGCTCCAGAGAGAGGGGGTCCTTCAGCCCGGCTCCCCTGGTGCCCTCCGGCCTTGATCTCTCAGCCTGGCCTGGACTCCTTAGCCGCTGCCGGCTCCTCCCAGAGCTGCAGGAGCCCGTGAGGGTGACCGCCATGACCCCGCTGCTCTTCCCTGGGTTCCAGTGGGGCTGTGACAGGGGGGCGGGGTCAGCTCTGGCCCCTCCGGTGGGCACCCAGGACAGGCCGGCCCGGAGCAGTGCCCAGGGCCCAGGAGTCTGTTGCGGGAATGAATGAACAACTCCAGTCCACGCTGCGTCACCAGAGGGGACTTTGGGTCCCCGCAAGAAGCAAAGGTGTCGGCTTCACCGCCTCTGCAGGGAAGGCCTGCTGACACGGCCCAGGTCTGCACAGTGTGGCTCGCGACCCCAACGGCGGCATGGGGGAGGGGAGGGCAGAAGTGGGCGGGGCTTTCGGGGGTCAGTCCTCAGAGAACGCCCTGCTGCTGCCCAGCACCCCGTCTAGAATCCCAGTGGGGCTGCTCCAAGAACAGCTGCCCCAGCAAGGGGGGCAGGGCCTGGAGACCCCCTTTCCTGCCCTTTACCCCATGCCACCCTCCAAGTCCCCACGCCCCTCCCAAACCTGCCACTGCCAGAGCCCCTCATCCCAAACCAGGGAACCCCAAACCACAGAGCCCCAAACCACGGAGCCCCAGGTCTGTGGCTGCCTCTTTTGTCTCCCTAGATCTGCTCTGTTCCGGATGATCCCCACACTACCCCCCCCATCTACACGGGGGCCGAGGACTACAGCTGGCACCCCTGTGACAACTAAGGAGGCTGAGGCAGGGGATCGCTCCCCGAGTTCGGGGCTACCCTCGGCTATATAGGGAGCTCAAGGCCGGTGTGGTCTATGTAGTGAGACCCTGTTTCAAAAAGACAAAAACAAAGACTGCTCAGTGCAAGGGCCCTAGGTTCAAGCTCCGGTCCAGACAGAAGAGAAGACAGGGGCTGCCGATCCAGGCAGAACGCGGAACTGTCTTTTCTGTCAGCACCTTCTTGCCAAGTGATTTTTCTCATTGTCGAGTCCTTGCTTCTTGGCCAAACCCTTATACAGTGGGATTTCACTCCATGTCATTGGTGAGGATGCGACACCCCCGCCCCGGTGCAAAGGGCGGGGGTGGCTCTGGATTGCGCTTCCCAGGACGCCAGGGACCTCGCCAGGGCTCAGGGGGACGCGGGGGAGGGGAGAAAGGACGGAGGAAGGGGGAGGGAGGGGGAG